AAAGCAAGAGCTGCTCTATTCTTTCCAAACAATGTTATCAGCAGGCAGCGGTGCTCCTGCTTATCTGGCAGCTTGAGCGTTACCCAGAATGTGGAAGAACTGGGCTCCACGGCAGCCCCTCCGCCCAGGGGCTCTGTGGTGGGGAGAAACCCCTCCAGCATGCAAAGCGTCTGGGCATGGCAGAGCAACCACAGCTCCCAGACATCCCAGGGTCTCCTCCCAAGATGGTCCCTGCATTTTCCCTGCACCCCAAAACTCACTGCTGCTCACCCTGCACTCCCCCAGGGCTCAGCACCCGCTGAGCAGGGTTAACAGGAACCACACGATTTCACATCCAGCTGCGCACCTCCTTGCAAACACCTGGGTTCAACTCCTCTGGTGTCAGCTCTGTCCCTCTGGAATCAAACCCACTGCGAACAGGCCCGATCCAAGTGCACAACTAAAATACTTGCTCGTTACCCAGACAAACATCCCACCAAAGGCGAGAAACACCTCAAAAGGAAGGAGCAGCAAACCGGATCTCACCTCCTCACAACACAACTCTAGCCCCACCTCAACTGATGTCCTTCTGGCAGAAGGACGTGATCCTAAAGCCTCTGCCAAGGGCAGGACATCCCTCCTTTAGGCTCAGCTGAGGAACGTGCCACCCAAGAATGGCAGGAATTGAATCCTAATGAGCCACCCCCCTGTAGCCCCTCTTCCTCAGGGCACAGTCCTGCCCTGTCCCCCAGGAAGGTTGGGATATCAGTGCAGGTTCTTCATCTGCACCCTCACGTACCAGGGGACAAAGGGCAGCAGGACGGGGAGGCTCTGCTCACCCCTGGACAGAGGCAGGAGAGCAGAGGTGCACGTCCCCTCCCAGCACCAGGCACCCAGTGGCACCCGCCTGCCCAAAGCACAGGAGTCGCAGATGCGCAGCCACCGCCGAAAACCACAGCTCTCAGCGTGGCGTGTTTAACGTGACCTGACACCTCCTGCAGGTCGGCTTCATCTGCTGCATTACGCAAGGCAGATGCCCTCAAGACTCCACCAGGTCCTGCAGCAGCAGCTCTCCAGGTTGCCCGACCGTGCTGTCTGTCCGTCCTGCCCTGCAGCACTGGGCATTGCAGGGCAGCCACCCAGCTCGTCGCCGGTGCCCAAAACCACTGGCAAAGGCCAGCTCCCACCACCACCAGGTCTTTGCACCACCACGACACGTATGCACACCCCTCAGCAGACCCTGCCAGGACAGCCAGCAGCAGAAGATAACACTTCAAACCACTGCAGAAAGACATGCTAGCTCATCAGCCAAAGCCCTGGCTCCGCTCATTTTGGAGAGCGGCGGTTTTGCATCAGAGGCAAGGAGTCCTGGTTTCCATCAGCTATCCAGCAGAGACCTCAACCTCACAAGAATCTCTCCAACACATCAACCACTGCAAAAAATACACAACACAACTGACTGGGACAGAAGCTTGAAGAGACACTGTAAAGTTGATTAGTCGTCAAAATCATCAGACCATAAAAGAAGCTCCAGCTGTGCTCCTCTTATTTGCCTAGAGAAATGCAAGAGGCAGGGCTCCATTTAAAATTAATTCCTTCTTTTTTTTTTTGTTTACTAGAGCCTGGTTGAGAATTAAGCCCATTATCCAACTCCTTTCTTTTCCACCACCCCAGTGCCTTTTTTCATAGCCTATGAAGAAAAAAGGAAAAAAAAAAAAAAAGGAAAACTCCAATAAGTGCTATTTTAAAATGAAAAATGCAAGTTTACAAAGAGCTCAGGAAGGTGTTTGAACCATTCAACCCTCTGTTTTAAGACCCCAGCACAGGACTCAACACAAACAATTCCTTCCAAATCAACAGCAATTTCAAGTCAGCCTGCTGCGTACGAGCTCAAAGTTAAGCGCTGGCCAGATCCTTGGCGTAAGTGTAGGAGGGCAAGAGGAAACAAAGATTTAAATTTTGGCTAGTGTACTTCTGTAAAATCACTGTCAGCACATATTTTTCAGTTCATACAAAACCCAGCAGAGGAAATTTAAAACAATAACTAACTTGGAGGTTTCGGTTCAGAAAAACTGCAGAAGAAAAATCTAATACGATGTAACTCACAGGATTGTTCAACGCTAATCATTAGCTGAGTGCTTACGGCATCCCATTGCAAACCAGGTCCTTTTGGTTCAGTTTTAAAACTGACCCACGGTTTTTGCAGATGCTTTGGCAAAACTACCAAGAATGACTCATTTTAATAGTAGAAATATTCCCTCACTTGAGGCTACTCGCTGTAGATGCTCTGGACAACGGTACCCCAACCCTGGGTACCACAAGGAGCTCACTGCAAACAACAGGTTTTCATGCCTGGGTACCACAAATGCCAACAGCAAAACCTCAGCAAAGCCAAGACCCACATCATGATACAAGACCTTAAGACCACGTCCCGGTTCTACCTTCGCGTTCGTCACCCTAAGAAACAAAAACTTGCAAACCCACTACAGAAATGCTCCCTTGCCTTATTTTCCATGTTGGAAAAAAAAAATATTCAAGCAGGTAGACAAGGATCCTCCAAAGGAGGAGAGAGAGGTTGCATGGCTGTACTCCCAGCCAAAGCCAGGCCAACCTGCAGTTACATCAGGTTGGGTGTTTTCAACTTGTGTAGTCGAGTTCTGACCATCTCCAGCCTCTCTCGGCCCCTGGTCCAGTGCCCGATGACCCTTGCTGTGACCATTTCTTCCCTAACTCCTCACTGAGAAAGCTTTCACTGATATCTCAGCTGGAGCAATACACAGGAGAACGAGCCCTTCTCATTCCCACTGCAATCGTTTTTGCCTGTGTGCTAATTTGTAAACTAGCCGAATAAAAGACAAACTTGGGGCTGGAAGTTGTTTTATTGTCATTTTTCTGTCCTTTGGGTGGGATGGGCAGCACCAACGCAGCACATCACTGCCTTTCTCTGTACGTTCAGACGGACGGCCTCCGAAGCGCACGAGTTTCCAGGCTTTTCCAAGATGACTGTATTTATACTGCTATCCTATAGGGAAGAAATCCAGCAACTGTATTTTGGGGGGAAACAGGAGCAGAGCACTGGATTCATGCCTCAGGCACAGCTACACCAAATAGCACGGCGCAGCTTCATGGCACATGGACAGGCACTGGGCAGACTGGCATCACTGGCGGTGCCAGTCCCAACCTGCGGATGTCCTTCTCCTTATTCCCCAAAGCCTCTTTGGTCTTTACCTAATTACGACTCCAACCAACTTGCTTAACACCACTATTATCAAGAACCTTTAACAAGCACCAACGATCCCATAAATCTTATTTTTATGGCATGGCAGAAGCCTAATTACACGATTAAATTCTGTCAAAAATTAAAGCCCACACACTTGCTCTAAAATTGAAATCAGCCCTTCTAGGTACCAAATAAAAGGAATGCTAACATTTCAAAGACATGTTGGCAACGCAGCTGAACCGGATTACGTTGCTGACCCTAAACAAATCGAGGGCATTCCTTACTCTTCCCTTGAGTCCATTTCCTTTATTTTCTATTATATGCTAGTGTTATAAATACAGGCACTTTGATCCATGCCCTGAATTGTTACATACAAGTCCCAAGCATTAATGAGCAACGCAACTCAAACACCTATTAACTCCATATTACATGTTCTTATTCTACTCGAGTCCCCTGCTACTTTGTCCAGCATAATATGTTGTTGAACCTCACTACAGAGGGTCGGAAATGTTTTGCTATGAGCCCTTTTATTTTTGTGACACCACCTTTAATGAAGATTGAGTTTTTTAAATACAAATCACACGTCACTTAATTTTTACTAAAACAAGCACTGTAAATGAAACACAACCTGTGTGTAAGATGGGACAAGATCTGTACAAGATATGCACCATGATGAGAAACGAAATCTAAAGCAAGCACATCTAAGATATTTGGGGATTTTTATTAGAGGAGGAGCATCATTGTAGCAAAAGGTAATATTGCACATTAGAAGTAAAGGAAAGTTTGTGGCTATGGTACTTCCTATAAGTCCTCTAAAAGTGCCCAGGAAGAAGTCTGTCACACCTGGAGAACAGCAATGATACAGCGAAAACACGGTCACATGGAAAAACAACAGAGAAGATACCCCGAAAAGATGGAACTAAGGTGGGATACTGGCATTGCCTTGCTCTCCCGGCTCACCACGAGTACTATGCGACCACCAAAAGCAAACATCAAACCCCAAGTGACTGCCCCAGACATCCCCTTGCTCTGGTCCACAACATGAATGTATGCCTACAAAAAGGGAAATAGCACCTGACAAGTTCTAAAGGGACTTTTTTTTTTTTTAAAACAATCACATAAGAGATCTTTTACACCTTAACAAGAAAATATTATCATTAGATACTACATTTTAAATTACATGCATATATGTAACAAATGGATGAACGCATATTATGTCAAACCCAGGCAGCATCCCTTTACATACCTGATCTGTGCCTCTTCCAAAACACTTGCATTAAGGAATGTTCTTCTTGAATAATATGGGAAAATGGGTGCAATAACTAAAATGGGTTCCTCTAAGCATTTGGGCTAAAATGCCTTTCACCTCCCCCTCCTGTTCTCAGAGCTAATACCAAGCGCAAGGAGCAAAGAAATACCAAGCTCAAGAAGCAAGGGCTGGGGTGGACCTAGCCATCAGTAAATAACACACATCATCCAGCCTCGGTGTCCCCGAGCACCCATGCCCCGGTCCCCAGACCAGCCGTGGGACCCAGGGGTGCTGCACTCGGGGGGTGGATGGAGGCTGCCTTGGATGACTAGACATCTTGGGAGGGGGGAAAGGAAAAAAAAACCCCAAAAATCCCAAACCAAAACAAAACCAGAGATGGCTTTGTGCCTGGTATGGCTAAAGAGCTGCATTCTGGCGACTTTTGAGCTTGCTCAGTGCTGCTGACAGGAGGAAAAGGCGCCAGCAGCAGGGAGCAGCCATGTTTCCCGAGCAGGGCTGGGGGAAGGCTCCCTCCGGGGAATTCATACTCACCTGGCGGTTTCATGTAATACTGCTCAATATCGGACATGTCCGTATGCAGCGCACAATCGAGATAGTGGAGGATAACTTTTCTACTGAAGTAGTACCTCATGCCCATCAGAAAGATGGGCAATAGCAGGAAGGACTTGGTCACAACAAAGCATATTACTATGGAGATAAGGAAGAGAAATAAACGATACCTGTCAGAAAAGAGAATTTAGTGTTGATTTCGGAATACAAACTCATTATAAAAAAAAAAGCACAGACAAAATATACATTTGCAGTATACGCACAAGTCACACTCTCAAGATTATCATGCTAAGTGATGGCATATCACACCGAGATAACCGCGAAGAAGTTTATGGGGTGTCTGGAGAGAGCTGGCGGGGAGGATGCCACCATGCCACGGCAGGTCCCACCGAACCCCCCCGGAGAGGGGCTGGTGGGGACGCCGGGGGCCAGGCATACCCCAGGCCTCGCTTTGCTTTCCCCAGCGAGGCCAAAATGCAGCCGGGGCGGAAAAGCCACGCTGCAGGCACGCCGCTCCGCAGCCATGTGTTTGTCACTGCGGCATTACTATTTCCATCACGGGAAGCACCGACTCCCGGGGAAGACACCATGCCCGCCTCGATGCCGGGGTGCTGCTGAAGACCTGGTGGGCTTCTGCGGACCCCCCCGAGACGGCAGCTCTCCCCGGCATGGCTCCAGCCTCCCAGAGCCACTAGCTG